ATGACATAGTCAAGTCCCAAATAAAATACCCAAACCACGCAAACTTGTTACAAGGCTCATTAAAACTGAGGTACAAAAGAATGACTTGCACAAATCAAGTTAGGACTGACAACAAGATTCAGAATATTTTTATTGGGAAGAAAAAAAGGCTAAAAAACAGGCCCACATTTTAAAAGCAATATCTGCATGATACTTTAAGTCATAAAGCTCTAAAACAGCCTAGCAATGACAACTTTTCAGTGTTTTCTACCAACAGATTGTGTGTATTATTTTTTAAGAATGAAAGAGGAGAAAAAGGCATTAGAAAAAGGTCCTTGTTTTACATCCTTCGAAACCTACAAAAGCTCCAGTAAGTAATGTAAATCTATAAAGGGAGAAAAAAATGATAAAATATTCTTAAATGGCTTTAAGGAAAATATATTGATAAAGCAGTATAATTTATGACATTTCTAACATACATTGACTGTATTTTTTCTGTTTAATCATTTCATATTTCCAATGTAAACGTGATAATGTCTGTCTAAAATTGATATAAAATTTGAAGCATTAAAGGCCCATCAAAATTCACTTCACACTAATTCTGGGCAGGTAGGAGTCAAAGAAAATCAGATTGGTCAATGGTTGCTACTGTTGATGGTGAACAATGAGTAATGCTCAAAACTGTCTCCTTTCCATGTGCATATATGTTGGAAGTCAGCCATAATAAAGAGCTTTTAAAAACTAGATAATAGGCTCCTTAAAACAGAAAAGTTATACATATATGGAATAATGAATTTGTTTTCAAAACTTTGTAGCAAATGATGATTATATTGAATATAGTACAAGATCAAGTTAGAATATGCAGTAATACCAAAACATTATAACTCACATGCATAACAATTTTCATTTTTCTCTGCTAATATTCACTTGATGGAAAAATCATAATGTTTATAGCTTGAGACTCAAAAGAAGCACATAGCACTGTACAATGACTATTGTAAGAATGTTTATGTGAAAGTCTTAAAAAGAGAACAGGCCCAAAAAAGCACCAATGAAACTCTAAGAATTAAATAGAGCTGGTCACTCTTTCAAACAATAAAAATAAAAGGTTAATTGTATCATATACCAAATGTGCACAAAAACTCAAGCTACATTCTTGACCTAGTTTTGATATCTAAAATTCTTGACTTTCTAAGAATGGATTCTTTTTAAAGTATAGCATTTTTTAAGACATTTTCTTCTTGTGAAACATAAAAAAATCCTTCAACCAGCCCAACCAGCCAAGCAGGCCTTTCTCTTCCCCTGCGGACACCTCCTGCAGTAGAGAAGTTCATTAAGTTTTATGATCTTCCCAAGTCAGTCCTGCTTATAAGCCTCACAAAGGCTACAAATCTGGCAAACCATCATGTAATGCCATTAGACATTACTAGTAAATGAACGCTATTTAGGGTTTGTGGTGGCAATAAATCAGAGTTTGGTTGGCAGCTATCAACAATGAGTATTTTAACCTTTGATTTAAAAAGGAAAAGGTTATGTTGACTTTTTTTAATATACACCATTTTTTCACAAAACTATCATTCAGATTATATACTAAATTATTAGCTTAGCATATATTAAAAATACTTTTCCTTGAAAAAACCATTTCCTTCATTTGCATTCTCCTAATTAAGGGTTTTGTAAAAAATGCAGATTTTTTTTTAAAGATGTATGATTTCATAAAGGAAAACACTTCACACTCAAGATTAATGTGGCCTAAGATAAGTAAGGGGGTACAATGAAAGATATATGGAGACGAGCAGACCCCATGGCATCAGAGGTAGTCACTGAGAGACAGAAAATAACCTACTGCTTTACAAAGTTAGAAGGAAAATCTTAACCTATCAACATATCTCCCTGTTTGCTCAGGTAGTTTAAAACAGACACATCTTGATTTTAAAGCCTGTATCTTTTTAGTTGCTTTCAAATTGTATAAATGTCACAATTTAACAATGAAAAATGTTTCTGCCCAAAAATAACTGTATGATAAATTTTACAAAAAAATACATTTTCAAGAAAAAGCAAGCATCTTATACTCAGAGTATACTTTCCTTACCTCTGAACAAGAAAATGTAATTATGGCAGATTACCCATTTATCTGTCAGAATGGGAGAAAAACACCTTTTCATATTTGGTAGGGGAGAAATAAGATGTTTTCCAAACTGAGTCCCCGGTGTGCATCAGAACTGGCAATATTTGCTGCTTGATCAGAAACCTCAAAATCTACTGGCAGTTCTACAAATCCATGGATTTTTTTTTTTTTTATGATTCTGTCTTATTTTAAAAGAAAATTACATTATCCACTGAAGTAAGAGTTCTCCCCCACCATCACCAGCTCTCAACTTGTCCACCGTGTCCCCTCCATTTTGCAGAACAGAGTCATCACACAATGTTCCTGGTATGTATTTACAAATGACTAGGTAAACTTTCTCTAGATAACTAATCTTTAGATACTACGCTGATAGATTAAATAAAATGACTTGAAGAAAATGTATGAAGTAGCATACATACATTCTCTAACATTTGATTTCTAACTCCGTGTTTCTACCGCAGGACTGCAGAAACAGATGGGGGACAGGCCCTGGATGTGCTGCCCGGCTTTTTCTGCTCTGAAAACACTAATGTCTACACAGCTGTTTTATTTCAAATTGAGTCCAGCAATCTTGTCTCCTTCTAAGACTAGTTTCATAGTGTGAGGTAGAGCTATGGACAGGAAGAGAGAAGGGAGAAGAGAGAGCAAGCTTCACCCCCATCAATCACTCAGTACTTAAATCCCATCCCTCTCATGCTTAGAGAGGCTGGCAGTAGGATGCTTCTGCCCAGACAGCCACATTTACTCTTGTCGGCTGGGGCTTTTTAGAAAGAATAACATGCAAACTTGGGTCAACAGCCAATGCACAAAAAGAGGATCTAATTCACAAGTTACCACCGAGAGCCCCAGAAACAATTTTCAAAACACAGAAATTTCTTTTGTCTGCTGTCTCTTGCTTCTTAAACAGCAAAAGCCCTACCAAAGCTCTCTGACCATAATCCCAGACTGAAAAAGCTGGTTTCTTTTTTCCTAACTCACCTTTGACATATTGTTGACTACCCTTTCCTTTCAGAATGGTGTAACTAAATGCCTGTGCAAAGAAGTCACTGGAGGACTAACACTTCTTAACTAAATTCTGCCTGCTGCTGAGTGTCCAAACATGAAGAGCTATGTGCTTCTCAAGCTGGCTAGGCCAAAACTACAAAATAAATACAAGTCAGAAGCGGGCTACGGAGGAGCATCAATCCCTGTCTTAGCAATATAATGCCATATAAAGTTGGACCAATCTTAATATTAACAACATAGTTAATACCCCAGTGCTTAGCTGTCAGCAGAAACTGAAGTGGAGCCCTGACAGCAAGAAAACCCTTGGAAATTAAGCAACAAATGTAATGAAAATTATATGCTTTTAGTCTCCTAAACTAAAAACCTTCAAGATTCAATGCTGGATGTCTTATTTAATAATCAGATAAAAATCACCTACCATCTTAAATCACAATGCACTCTAAGGCAGCTAAAAATCTACATACAGTAACTCTAATTTTAAATGGCTGGTTTGCAAAATCTAAATTATATGACAAAAAGAACCATGTATCATTAAGACACCATCCACAGTATGAATGAAAAGCAAGAAAAGTACTTCTTTAGGCCCCCTTAATATTTGCTATTAATTATGGTTTAGCATATATATGTATGGTATAAACCACCCTCTTTCTGGATTACTTTCAGAAATATAAATAGTAACTGTTTAAAAGGAGTACAACTTGGCTACCGACCTAACTATTCCATGAAGTATGTTATTATTTGTACACTCAATTTAAACACAATCACATTTAATCATTTAACTAGCATCACTTGGAAAATGTAATATACTGGACTTGACTACTACTTTGCCTCAACTTACCAAGGGCAGCTTTAAAATACAATATACCCAACACATATGAAAATAAACAGAATTAAATGATATCATACATCAAATGGACCTAACAGACTAAATATTCCACCCAAGGACCAAAGAATATACACTCTATTCAGCATCCCATACATGGAACTTCCTCAAAAATAAATAAATAAATAATAAATAAATAAAAGCAACCATAAAGCTTAACAGAGTTGTTTGCCATATACAGGAACGATAAGACTAAATACAAACTACAACTTCTAAATTAAATCTGTACTTGGCTTAAGCCTTACCATTGTCAAGACTAAAAATATCTTAAATCGAAAAAGTCTGACAAGAAAGCTAAACTGAAATAAACTGCCAAAAATTTGCCTAATATGTACCTGCAGTTTTCATCCTAGAGCTCCCACACAATCTGTGCTCTCATGTATTCCTGCCTTGAACTTCAACACTGCTTAACCTGTCTCTGTGAATGAATACAAGTACTGATAGACGTAATACATCCTGTATGTATAGGCACATCACTATCCTTCCTGAATTCTTAAAAGTAGTCTTCCCCTCTAAAGCAGAGTCCAGCCTGCTACTGCGGTCTGTCCAATTGCATCTATTCTTCTACCAGTGGAAACGAAGCTTAAGGCTGTCTAAGTGCAACAAAGTTCGGGAGCTGCTTCTCCCAGGGATCTGGTCCCTGGTATCAACTCTCCCGTTGCTCCTTTTAAAAAATGCCACACAGATAAGGCAAAAAGAGAGGGGAGAGGGTGGCTGGCGCTAGGGCCCCCTCCTCGCCTGCAGCCAAGGGCTGCCAGCAGCCTAGGGAACAGCGACCCAGTCCCAGCCCCATTCCCACCTACACTTCATTTTGCACCAGAGCAGAATTGAGAAATCGACTCCAGATTTATTGCAATTTTTTCTCAAGATCAGGAGGTGGGAAAGCAGAGAATGATCAAAGATGGCGGTGCCCAAAAGCAGCAGCTCTCAACTGGAGAGTCGATGGAGTAGATCTGACCCCACCTCGGGGGAGTCTCAGGCCCACTGCGGGGCGCAGCGTCTTACCTGTTTTCTCTTTGATCTCACATAGGACGCTGAAGAGCGCAGGTTTCATTCTGTGACAGTTCAGAGCATGTTTCCTAAAAAAAAAAAACAAATAGCAAAACACAAAGGTATTAGCATTACCTATGGAATAATATGGCGTCTTCCTTTAAGTTAAACCCAAGATTTAAATCCGGACCCCTGTTTTGGAAAGCTCTTTGCAACCCCGAGAGAAGTCAACCAAAACTCAAGTTGACTAGTTGGCGACAGCCGGCAAGCTCCAGCAGCCGGAGCCCCAGCCGGAACGCAGCGCGACCCATCTGCTGGGCAGACAGCGGCCCGGGCGACCGCAGGCGCCACCCGTGCGTGCAGGGGAGCAATCATCCCGGGGACAGCGGCGGGGACCCGGGGGACCAGATGGGCACGGAGGAAGGGGGGGGCGGTCCCCGAGTCCGAGCTCCGCAGGGGGGAGGCGGGCACGGCAACCAGCCAGCGACGGCCAGCTGGGCGGGTGACAGCTCCGCAAACTTTGCGAGGTGCAGAACTTGGCCGCCCGCACCGGGACCAGCCAGCCAAGCCGTCCATCGCCTCACCGGGCGACGCCGCGAGAAAGTTGCAGCGCCGCCCGGGAGTGGGGGCGTGCGGGGGGGGTCCCGGTGAGGACACCGCGAGCTCGGGGTCGCGGCGGGAGGTGTGAGTCGGTACGACAGGGCGACCGGGCAGCGGCGCAGCACCGAGCCGCGCTCTGAGTCCGCCGGAACCCGGGGGCAGCAACTTTGCCGAGTCCCAGCCGCATCCGAGAGGAAGGGGCTCCCGGCGGGTGGAGAAAGTTCCCGGACCTCCCGGCGCCACCCCCCGGGGCCCCGCGCCGGAGCCCGCGCACACACAAAAGATGCTTAATGAGACGACACCAACTTTGCTTGCGCCTCGTCCAAGCTCTGGTCGGTGATGGTCATGATCTGGTGGAGGATGTCGCCGATGTCCTGCTTCCTGCCGTCGCCGTCCGCCCCTTCGTGGCCGTGAGGGGGAGGCGGCAGAGCCATGCCCCCCTGGACCGAGTGGCCGGCCAGGTTCACCCCGGCCAGCGTCTGCAGCATCCTGGATTGATCGTCCATCCCGCCGCGCGCGGGCGGGAGCGGGCGGCGGCGGCGGCGGCGGCGGAGGAGGAGGAGGCGAAGG